TAAATAACTTATTCGATAAAAATTTGAGCTCACAAATACCCAAATGTCTAAAAAAGTACTATGAATTCATTCAAAAGTTCAATTGGATTCAAAATAATACAGTCAATACGAACCAAATTTACAAAGACGCAATAGATAACATTACAATAACTCCAGCAATAGAAAAAAAATTTCCCAAGATAAAATGGAAAACAGTCTGGAAGGTCATTAGTAACAATGACATTCCTTCCAAGTGGCGCTCTGTAGTATACAAAGCGATAAATGACATATACGCAGTAAGATCAAAAACGCACCGCCACGGTATTACCGATTCTAACATATGTAGCGAATGCAATGTTTTTGACGACATGTCACACCGTATTAAAGACTGCATTTTGTCTAAAAACATTTGGGATTGGTGTAAACAGCGTATTTTAAACAAGTTTTTGCAATGTAATCAAAATGGAGACCCTAAAGATATTTTTCAAATTGAATATTCTAATAGTTCAGATACAAATGTTTGGATATGGTTTTATAGCGCTCTATTATATAATAACTTAGAAGGCTTTAAAGATTTAACAGAATTTATTAATATGTTAAGAAGAGACAGAATGTCAAAAATTTCATTAGGTACAATAAGAAAATTCTCAAAAAAAATTTTCGCCTTTTAAGGCGTTTTATTCTGTGATATTCTTTTAGTAGATGTAAGTTAATTTTAGTGTACAATACTGTAAAGTTTTTTGTATAATAAAGTGTTAAAAAAAAAAAATAGAAAAATTTTTCGAGGTAGATGTATGTGGAAAATGTATAAGATGTAATTTAGGGGAATTATGATGTAATTTAGGGAAATTAAGATGTAATTTATATAAAGAGTGATAATAGACCTAGAGTGATATATATTTTTTAAAAAAAAAGGAGAATTTTAAAGAGATACAAATAGGTTAACTCGATTATAGAATGAAGCAAATATAATTTAGTTATGGATAAAAAAAAAATACTTTTTACTTACTAAGTAATCACACATTTGTCGAATAAACCTTGTATTATTAAATATAAGTAATTCTATCTATACGTGAGGTAATAGTTCTTGAGAATCTGAAATAAAAAAAAAATGTAAATAAAGATTTTAAGTTACAATTTGAATAATTAAAATATAACGAAAAAGTATGCAAACCTAATAAACGTCAAATAATAAAAATGACAATTGACCAACATTAAATTAAGTAAAAGGTATAATTTCAAATAATTAAAAAAATATACATTTGGAAAATATAAGTTAGCCGGTGCCATATACAAGGTAAGTAATAAAGTTGACTTATCAAGTATGAAATTAATCAATTTAAATTCAATTTAACAAATTAATTAAAGTCTTTATCATTGTTTATTATAAATTACAATTAATAAAATTAAAATTACATAGCAATATTTAGTTTATCCTCTAAACATTTATAGAGCTGCTGCAATAGGTTGTACAAAATAACCGGAAAAAGCCTGTAATAACTAGATAAGAAAGTCATGTGTTGGACACATCAGATTTTTTAATAACTTTTCCACAATATGACGGCTGTATGTTTGATAATGATTACAAAAAGCATGATTTCAATTTGCAAATTTTGACACATTTTTTAAAATTGACGCGTTAATTATCATGTCATTTTAGTATACCGTGTTCACCACCAATGCGAAGTGCAAGGCTGAGTTACACATCCATTGCATCTTGGGCGACAACTAATGGTTGATCAATTAGAAATGCAAACGGCATTTCATATTATTTCAACGTACAATACGAACCGACATTCAAATATACTTGCACATGATAATACGCCGTTCTGTATATTTTCAACATGTTTTTAAAGATATTTATAGTGTGACAAAATCGGGAAGGTTTTAAGGCACAAGTAATTTTGTTTTTTAGTTGAAAACTTTTCTGCGCAAATGGTTCGTTTAAAGGTTGACAAGAATAAAAAAAAATATTGTTTTGCACGTTATTGTGAAAAAGTAAAGATTATAATGATTAACTATTTGAAATTACAATACTAATTATGAACAGCGAACTTTTAATGATCAACGGCAACGGATCGATACTAATGACAAACTGTCAGACTTACAGTGTGACCAACTGTTAGGTAAGACTAAAAAAGTAACTAAGAACGTTGTAGTACCAACATAAATATATAATTTTGATTGTTACAACAACAGTTATCAAACCTGCATTATAGAGTGTGTGTCATAAAGTTTTTTAATATTACGATTTAAAAAAAACCTCTGGTTATTTCAAAACTTAAAATATCCCATATCAAATTTGACTTCTGGCATTAGTTATCTGTGACCAGGGCCGGCTCTAGGCATGTGCAAAGTGTGCAGTTGCACAAGGCGCCAAATTTTAGGGGCGCTAAAAATTACATTTAACAATTTAAAATAAAATATTAGTTTTTTATTTGTTTAGTCATTAGTGTTAGATATGGTTGAACTCGTATTAAATAGGAGATTCCAATAATGACTTAATATAGAGGGTGATGCATTTGAAAACCAAAGTAACTAATAATATGAGAGAAACGGAAAATCTGACAACATTGCAAACATCAAATCTGGAATCTCCTTATCCCAAAATAGGTGTACCCCAAATTTTGTACAATTAGGATTAGCAATTTACGAGATAATTGGCCGTTTCCAGACTTTTGGGCCACTCTGTATAAAAGTGCCATGTCAATAGTTCTAATAAATTCCGCGCGAGGCGCCATCAATAGTACTGCCACATCAAATAACATTTTTTTGTTTTAGGCTATCTGCGTAGATTTCACATTACATTACATGTATCATTAATCAGTAGAGGCACCTTTAATCAATAAGTATACCGAATTTGGTAAGCACAAGTACTGAAAATACTGCTCAAAAAAATATTACATCCACAATCGTTTTTCACAGCTTATAAGGGGGTTATGATTGACAATCTGTGTTATTTTTAACAGGTCTGTTATTTTATAAGCACACAGAAATTGCAACCTGTTTACAAATAATGTGTCTGTTAAAAATAACATTACTTGTCAATCATAACCCCTTAATAAGCTGTGGTTTTTGTTTCGCTTCTCCTGTAAAATTAACATTTATAAGGTTATGGCACTATTGAAACAGGGGTGCGAAATGTCAAATAATGTATGGAATTAAGGAAATACTATATTTCAGAGTGCAAATAGAAGCCTACAAAAAACTGTTACCCCAATGTAAATGATGTCAAGCATATGGGCTTACTCAAAACAACTGCAAAAGAGGACCCAGATGTGTCAAATGCGCTGGAAAACACTCAACCCCAGATTGTGACAAACCAATAAGTACAGCACCTAAGTGCATACACTGTGAAGTGGAGCACCCAGAGGTTGCCATCAACTTATATATGTATGTATGTCCCCTAAGTTGGAATCATATGGAAAACTTTTTTATTATTAATTTTAGGAAAAAAGTTATTCTTCATAAAAAGTTCTGCATTATCTAAAACCTAGAATACAGCATCAAATATCAAATTTTTTCAGTGGTATACGAGGTTTGTCAAAAAATATGAATTTTGCTCAAGAGTAAAGTACGTTTTTTGATTTGACAAACTCGAAAGATTTCATTAAGATAAGTTGATTAAAATTGAAAATTACATTCAAATATGCAATTACACCGATCTATCTGAAAAAAGAGATTTAATTTTTTATACTTTTCTACACATTGATTGTAAATATCTGAAAACGTTATAATATAAATTACGTTGATGTTCGTAAAGAATTTAGCAATTTTCTTAATGAAAATTTTCCATTTTGTCAAAAATAAGTCGTACTTTACTCCTGAGCAAAATTCATATTTTTTGACAAACCTCGTATACGGCTTGAAAAATTTGTTTTATTTATGAGATATATCCATTGGTTACTTATGAACCTCTACTAAAGATACCCATAAAATATTTTGCTGAATATCCACAGAATATCTTCTATATCCTGGATATAGACGGACATTTGGATAACCATATTAGATCCACGGGATATTTCAGGGTATCCACAAAAGATATTCTGTGGATATCTCTGGGATTTGGTATGTTGTCTGGGTAGTTGGTGGCATATAAGAATTTTTTTTTTTTTATTAATATTAGGAAAAAAAGTTAGTCTTCATAAAAAGCCGAGCTTGGTCTAAAACCTAAAATACAACCAACGAATATCAAATTTTGTCAGTCGTATACGAGTATTGTCAAAAATAAAGATACTATACTTTTCAGCAAAAAACATATTTTTTGACAAACCTCGTGTACGGCTTAAAAAAATTAATATCTGATGATTGCATTTTACATTTTAGATCATGCAAAACTTTTTTTAAAGAATTATTTTTTTTCATAAAACTAAGAATAAAAAAAAGTTTCCCATACACAGTTCCAACTTAATTGGCCACACTGTATAAGGACAGAAATGTACCTTACATTTAACAAATAATTATTCTTGATAAAAATTGTATTTATTTTACCTACAATTAATTTCCTTTATCTATCATCTTGCCCCCCTAACCCATTGCCTAGCGACGCCCTTGCTAGATGCACTTCATACATTGACATATTGACAATCTGGATTATTTTTGAGTAAATTATCTTTTTACTTTCAAGTAATTTAATGTAAAATATGAACACATATTGCATCTACTACCTATTTGTACCTATTATCTAAATAAATCTTATTTTAACATAGTTATATGAACCCTAGATAGGTAACCTATTTAGGTACATACCTACCTAAATTAGCTTATTATCTAGATATCTCTTTATTTTAATAACATAGTACCTACCTATCTATCACAATTAATTAAGTGCCCATATTTTTTAATCAAACATATGAAATTAAATACTTATATACTTACTTCATAAATTAATTTTACGAGGTTACAACTTACAACACAACACACCACACCACAACACCCTTTAACAATTAAGAAAGAAAGAAGAAGAATAAACAAAAACAAATACCTATTCTCCTTCAAACAAAACAGAGACAACTAATGATCGGCAAGCGATGATCAATCAGGGTAAGCTTTTTCACCGTCTTGAGAGAAAAGAGACAAAAGACAAATTGTATTTGAGATTCTAATCGTCACGTGTTTCTCGTACCGGTGCATTTTGTTTATGCATCAAAATAACGTTTTTATAACCTAAAAAGTATAGGCTCAGCTTTCCGTCGTGTTTTTTCATGTTCGTTCATTTTTAAGTGTTAAAATGAGTTCAACTATAAGAAATCCTGTGCTTGCAACAAATCCATGGCTGACTAGTGCAAACAATGTATTTAGATCTAAATACAGTGGTGGAAATAAACTTTTGAAAAGTGGCAAAATCATGAAAAATCGTTGTCGTCCAAAACAGTTACAAACAGAGGTAAGGAAAGTTAAAAAATTAACCAAGGCTGTTATAACTAAACTGTACACTGAACAATTAGTGCCTCTTTACCCATATTTAACGAAATCAAAAATTCGAGCCGCTTTAATTATGTCTGACAACAATTTGCATGAAGCTAGGTTATTGCTTGATTATAAAAATAAACTTTCTTCGCTTAGAAAATACATTGCTGTTCAGTCAGCGAAGAATATTTTTTATAAATTTCCAAGGAATTTTAAACAAACTGCCAGAAGCAATTTTACAGGAAGTTTTTCTTTAACTAAGACGGAAGAATCTTTATTTATTCAAAAAAATTCAACGTCCAGTACAACTAATACTATAATTACGTCTTCTTCTAATGCCAATTCGCCGGTAAATTCGAATGAAAATGAGAAAACTCCGCATACACAGGTTTCTTTCCAATTAGAACAAATAAAATCAGAGGAAAAATATAGGAATTCAAATGTTATGAGTAGCAAAATTACGGCAAAATTACATAGCATTTTGGAGGATAAAAATGTATCAAAAAATGTTTCCTTAAGTGTGGACCAGAAAAACTCATCTTCAAATATGTTTTTGCTGGAAAAAATCAAAGAAAACAACTCTACAGAAGTAACATTTACTGAGAAAAATTCATCATCGAGTGAATATGATTTTACCGAGTGCGATTCAAAAATTGAAACTACAAAAAAATGGTTTGAAGAAAGAAGATTAGATAGAATGTGTATTAAAAATACTGTCAGAAAAGTTGGCATCATTATTAAGAAGAATTCCACTGGGTATGAAGCTTCTCCTTTGTAACAATGTTTTTTTATTTAATAGTAGGGGCGACTGGAGCAAATATTTGGTATTTGCTAGAGGTTTCAAAATAATTAATATTTTAATAGTATTTTGATCAGTTATTATCCTATTATTTACAGGAGTTGTAAATGTTGTAACTATTAACGTTTATTCTTATTATTTGAGTTTTTCGTACTAAAATGACATTTTTAAAAAAATCTCAATTGAAAAACGTGTTTAAAAGATTAAACGTATTTAATAATTAAGTTAATACCCACATCTATTTAAGATTTTTTTATGGAAAAGTTGACGTTGTTTATTATTTAAATAACACATTTACTTTTTATTTATAGTTTATTAATTAAATAAACACTATTTTTAAAATCCTGACTGACAGATTTATAATAAAATTAGGTATATTTATTTATGACAACCCTTCTAAGTAAAAATGTGATAAAGGACGAATTAGTATTAATAGAAAAATAAATTGTTTATCTAATAACTTGACATTGAACAACCATTAATTACGTGAGATATTTTTGAGGATTTTTTGACTCCCCCTCCGCCCCTGGTGAGATTTCGTAAGATTTTCCTCAACTCCCTTCCCTAATCTCACGTGAGATTTTTCAAAATTTGTGTTTTGGGTGTAAAGGCAGCAAAGCACCTCGGGAAGTTTGAGTTGAAACATATGCCACATTTTTAGGCTATTTTAAGGCTATTTTTATACCCTATTCAAAAATTTTATGCTCCTCGTTTTTTGCAAAAATTAAGGTGCTCTTCTAGCTTCGAACGAAGTCAGCAGAGCACCTCAGTTTTTTAAAGCTTTTTTCCAAAACCAACGACACCATATTTTTAGGCTCTTAAAATATTATAAAACTTTTCGAAAAATGTTATTTTAAAAAAATACAGGGTGCTTTGCTAGCTTCGAACGAATCTAGCAGAGCACCTCGGTTTTTTAAAGTTTTTTTTTTTCTAAAAACAACTACACCACATTTTTAGGCTATTTTTAGGCTCTTAAAATATTATAAAACTTTTCGAAAAATTTTGTTATAAAACAGGAAGCTTTGTTGGAAAAATATGATTTTGCTTAACCTTTATTGGTGGTTGTATTATTTAAAAATAGCAATTTTTTAGTAAAGTTTTATAATATTTCAAGAGCCTTAAAATAGCCTAAAAATGAGGTGTAGTTGTTTTTAGAAAAAGCTTTAAAAATCGAGGTGCTCTGCTGGATTCGTTCGAAACTAGCAAAGCACATTGTATTTTTTAAAAATAACAACATTTTTCGAAAAGTTTTATATTTTAAGAGCCTAAAAATAGCCTAAAAATATGGTGTCGCTTTTGGAAAAAAGCTTTAAAAAACTGAAGTGTTCTGCTGACTTTGTTCGAAGCACCTTGATTTTTGCAAAAAACGAGGAGCATAACATTTTTGAATAGGGTATAAAAATAGCCTTAAAATAGCCTAAAAATGTGGCATATGTTTGAACTCAAAATTCCCGAGGTGCTTTGCTGCCTTCTTTGGCATCTTTTATTTAAGATTAGCAAAGACTAGTATTTGAGAATATTGCAGTAAGTAATTTAAAATCACAGTGAGAAAAATAAATAATAAATAAACAAAAATTAAGATTTTGCTATATTTTATTCTAGAAACTTTCTTTACTTTCTACTAAAAAAAAAATTACGTCAGATTTACAAGTGGGATTTGGAAAAATTTAGCTTGATCCCTTCCCTCCCTCCTTGAACACCTCACGTAATTAATGGACGCCTGTAGTGTAAAAATAAATAAAAATGGATTATTGTATAAAATAGTTAATAAATAGTTAAATTATTATTTATAAAATGTGATATTACTAGATAGTTTAAACGTAATAAATAAAATATACTTTAATATACTTTACATACAGGGTTAGGCATAATTGACGGAACATGTCTGGCTTTATTGGACAAGTAACAAAAAGTTCTTGGATATTTTGTTTTTTAGATAAGCATTTTTAATATACGTTTATTTTTTATGACGTCATTACTATTTGTGATGTGGCATCTTCACCAGTTATTTTCAAATGGCAATACCGATTATTTGATACAATCAATTAAAAAAGCACTTTTTTTGTGTCTAGACGTCAAATTTCATGGTAATAAAAACTCCCATGCCGGATATTTTGGCAGTGATGCCAACAGCTCTCAGTTAAAAGTACCTAGATTTTTGAAATTTTTTCCCTAGAATTCCCTACATTTTTATCAGTCTAAAATTAAACCATGATTGACATTTATGACATTTTTTTAAGAAACAGTTTTAAAATGTAACATCACCAGTTCAAAACATTTAATTTTGATTGTCCTAATTTCATAGATCGACGTCAAAATACAAAAATACAGATTTTACGGATTGTTGACATTAATCTCACGTGATCATCCATAACAGTAAATCTTTGACAACATTTTTGGATGAAAATCTGATGACAGAAACAGCATTGATAACCTCGCTATCAATTTTTTTTTCCGTTTCGGCGTTACTGTGGGGTAAAATCTTACATAATTTGGCTAATTTTACAATATTAGAATATTCCAAATCATCCGTAAAGTTTCTCATTTGACTTAACCTAAACCAAAATTCTTCAACACTTAATTTTAACAAAACAAAAACAGTAGATCTACTCTTAAAACCGTAGGTCTGGCAACACTGTCGGTACGTAATAGCGCACAGTACGTTACGTATCGTATAATTCGTATAAACAAAACAAATGCAAAGGTTAAGAATCGGTGCCAGCATTATGCTATATTATACAAGGTGGCGCAAAGTAAAGTCCCCTATTTGTTTTTTATATAAAAGTAAGATTAATTAAAAAACAGTCATATTATAAATGAAAAATATTTATTTAAACTCTAAAAATTTGTTTTGTTATACACTAAAAACAATATCGACCAAATGGCTACCCCCAGCATTAATGCAATAATGAGCTCTTTTTAAAGCATTTTTCATAACTTTCTCCAATATTTCAGGTGGTATTCTGTCAATTTCTTCCCGGATGTACTAAAATGTACTAAAATATCCGGCCTGGGAGTTTTTATTGGTGTTACATAACAATATTTTCAAGAAAAACATTTTTGAAAAACTTTGTTTGTCATTTGTAACAATTACCTTAAAAATATTGTTATGTATTTTATCTGGGTAAAAAATGGGACTGTTGCTATTAAAAAAAACTCGTAATAACGTTATATCTCGAATATCGATTACGTCATAATAAAATAATTTTCGAATAGGTTGATTTTATTATTTTGATGTGCATTTTTTGATATACGTGTATTTTTTAGGTACAGTACATTCGGGTATTTGTGACATAGATTTCTTCTTTTTTCAGGAAAAACCTGTAAATTTGTTAAAAGTAATAAAACAGCCTAAATATCTGCGTCTAACCAATCATCTTACTTACCTATTCAATACACATAAAGCTTTCATTGGAAAATGTGTATACATTTTTTGGAATTTGATTCTTTTTATAACAGGTGTCACAATTAGCCTACAAAAATTCTATTTGTGACACTTTTTGGTTTTAATTATGACACACCACCAAAATTAACATTTATATCCATAAAGCTTGGTAGTTTTAATTGCGACTTATTTTAATGGTCTAAATGTGAAATTAAAAAAATATTTGAAAAGAAAACTTTAATGTTTTATAAAAAAAATTGTGCATGAAACTAAAAAAATTCTGTGTCTTATAACAAAATAAGTATTTGCTCTATAAATAAAAAACAAAATAATAAAAAAGTTAATAAACATTAAGGCCATCAAACTTCACTGAAAAGATCTTTTCATCTCGTCTTCCCTAAGTGGGTTTTGGAAGTATAGTATAATATAGCATCAGTGAACACACTATCTATATCTTCATAAATTGGCCAACCAAATACATTATTTCTCTTTTTTCGTAAAAACTCAACCAATAGCTTATCTTCTTCTACAGAAACTTCCAATATAAGTCCAACATACCTTTTCGTAATTTTGGTTGTTTTATAATCACCTAGGGCCCAGCTACCCTCCTTTACGTCATTAGGGTTTTCCACTTCCTTTTAATAATTCAAATCCTCTTGTTCATTTTCTACTAAACGTTTGAGAGTTATAATTTCATCGGTGTCGCTATTGCTTGATATTTCGTGTTCTATTTCTTCAACTTCAGTTTCTATTTCGCTCTCTGAATCTTGTTTAACGATGTTCTTTTTTTTGTAACATTTTTCTTTTGAACGCTCTGTTTCTTCAACTGTAATAAATAATCTTCTCTAGTAAGTATCTCGGTGGTATTGTTGCTAATTTTGCGTTTCTTCACGTCTTTATTTTCTGTTGCAATCTTGTTTATTAGCAGAGATCCAAAAGAGGTAATTGGGCCTTTACTAGTACAAGGAATTTTATTATGTAACATGCCACTAAATTTGGCATGCATACGATATAAAATGTGCTCATTGGTGGTGACGTTATATCTCGAATAGTGATGACGCCATAAAAAATATACGTACATCTAAAAATAATAAAATCAACCTGGCCCAGCATTTATTTGTTACTTGTCCAATATTGCCAGAAATTTTGTGTCTCGCTAATTTTGCTCAAAGCTCAAACCTGTTTTACCCCAACCAAAGAAACATTTAAAATAGTCTTCTCGTTTTTTTTTATTTTCGAAAAAATCTTTATATGTAGATAAGAAAATTTACTTAGGATAAGTTATACCAGGTGTTCTAAAAAATATTGACCCATTTTAACTAAGAATACGTCGAAAACTAAAAGGGTATAGTTGCGGTTTTCAGCAATTATTGATTTTGATTATTCTGAAGTTTTATTTTAACTTGGTAGATAGACTTTTTCACACGAACACAAGTTAAAAAAATGTGTAGAAAAAAAAATCCCAGTTCTTCTAGTTGTCTTACATTTGTCATAAAAAAACTTTGCAACTGGCAATATTTATAGCACTTGTAATTTGTTTAAATTGCAGGTTATAAAATAATAGAATGTATAGTGTTTTTTACAAAAAAAAAAAACGATATTATTTATTTTGTTCTTTTTTTTGGGAAAATTGTTACCAAGCTGGAATAAAACTTAAACTATTAGTTTTAGTTTCCTTAAATGAGCCAATATTTTTTGGTATTATCGTCGTAATAAATTAAAAAATAATAAAAGTACTTTATTTTTTAAACCAAGATCTCACGTTAGAAAACTCAAAAGTTATACAAAATGTATATTATTGGTAAAATTATGTTGTTTGTTGTTTTCCCATATTTTAGAAATTGTTCGAAACTAATATATTTTGCTTGTTTAAAAATAGGTTGAACACTGTCTAATAACTAGCTGATCAATGGAATTATTTGGAATTCCACAGGATCGTGCCAAATTTAAAAAAAAACCAGAACAAAAAATAGTGTATTAAAAAACGAGTTTCATAAGATAAAACTAAATCCAAACTTGGATTCGTGCAATAAATGATTTATGGAACTAGTTATTTATATATTTTTTATTATACGCCATTTATGTCTTTTTTAAATCTTGATTTTCCTATTTTGAGTCTCTAACAACGTTTTTAAGATCTCAAAAGATAACGTTTATAAAGGATCTAGAGTTTAATAGCTTTTTGTTAGCTTTCTTTGTTCGAGGTGACAATACGCCATTTTAGTGATGATGACAATTAAAGTGACAGTAGATTTTTCGAATGCGTTTTATTCGTTTTGTTTACCTAAATTATATCGTTTTTTACTTTTATAAATATATTCCTAAAGTAAGTAGATAACGTGCATCAAATATACAATCTTTTAGCTACCAATTATATACCATTAAACTATTTTTTATGACCTACAAACAATAATTAGAAAAAAAACTTAAAACAGTAAAAACGCATATGTCAAATTTGTTGATGTTTGTGTTAAAAGTTTGGTTAGAATTAAATGTCAGTGGAACCAAAATGACATCACACTAAACTGGCGTATTCATTACTGATTTTACTATAAAGAGAATGCAATTTAAACTACTGTGCATTTTAAATAGTAAAAAGAACCAATAATGAATTATCCGGATGGATCAAAGTTATTTAGTAGCGTTATCAGTTGTTAGGATGCAAAATATAAAAATTGTCATTAGAATCTAGCCATCGATGCGTTTAAGTCGACTAATGAAAATTGTTTATACATTACGAGATATTTATGTATTATTTATGTAGTTTTATCTCTTGTTTAATAGAGAACATTTTACTCAACCTACTATTTGTACCTAAACAAAATAAATACCCGTCAACTCACATTTAACATTTTAAAAGCTGTTGATTTAATTTAATGAATATGTAACTTCTATATTCTTATTTGTACAGCTATGTAGGTATTTACTTATTGTAGGAATACAAATTTATAATATATATGTTGGTTACATTTCTCTAATATGTATCTACCTCTGATATATGTAGTAAGAGTGATCCACAAAAAATGTTTCTAAAGTAGGCCTTGGAAAAACTCACGAATGTCAAATATCTTAGCTCTTCTTCTTCTTTTTAAATGTCAGTTTGAATTTAATTCAGAACCATACATAGTTATTACGGTCATGGCTTACTTTCAGCGATGGCTGTAGAGCTGCAGAACTGCCAAAAAAATTAAAGAATCTCATCTACATTTCATAGAAATTATTTTAGACATTCTGACATATACGTAAAATAAATTTTAAGGATAATCTCATTTAATTATTAAACAGTAAATAGTGTGTGTGTGCAGTGCACCGCTTGGGACGCCCCCCTCATCGTCTCCTTTAGTTGTTCTTGTAGTATTGATAGGCATATGCCTGTCAACAAAATTAACAAGTTTGCGAAAAGCGAAACTTTTTTGTTAACAGTATTGTGACGAAAGTCTAATTTATTTAAAGTTTATTTTTTTAAAAACACTTTAACTTTCCAATACAATTTTCTATCTTAAACTAAACTCGGCGCTGATACGTCAGTCCAACTCCGCTACTGGAAAATGCTAGAGGCTCTCGACGGTCGTCTCGAACATTCCATTCCTATGACTAAACATCACTCTCCGCCGTTCCAGCTGTTTCTCGAGCCTCAGCGGCATTCCCAGAACATTCCGTCGCCTCGAGCACGAGTCGGTTGCAATGTGAAGGTCGAGCGTACACAGGGTAGGCTTTAAGAATTTCATAACAGTATTTTGATCAAAAATAAAAAAGTATTGTTCAATATACTTGTTTATTTTTGATGAAAATAGTGTTGACAAGAAACTTTCGCTTTTCGCAAACTTACTAATTAATCATTTTGACCGTTATATGTACATCAAGACTACTACTAGAAGAACTAAAGGAAACGACGAGTGCAGGCGGCTTAAGATAAGATGCACTCTGTATACTATTTAATAAATAAAATTCAATTAAAATTAATGAACATATCTTTATGTGTATTTTAGAATGTCTAAAATACTTACATATAAGATACTTGCACTCTTTGGCAGTTATCCAGCTCTACAGCACTTATGCACTAGCCTGCTTACTTTAGAAACATTTTTTATGGGTCATTCTTTATAGTAGTTGTTCCGTTCAAACAACGGTTGTTCTTTACCTAGAAATTAGTGTCTTTTTTGTTTGTTTATAAGTTTGTACTTATTTTGTTAACCGTTTTTTGTTACCAGTTTTTTGTTGTTTTTTACCAAGCTTTTCTTATAAATAAAAAAATATTTAATAAAAAACAATTTTTATTTGATAGGCAATTGAAGCTATTGGGAATACAAAATAGTAATATTATTTTTTTACAAAAGGTTAACCTACTGTAACTTATCGCAGGGACTATCGATCTATATCAACTAAGGCGTCTATTAGGCATTCCAAACAAAATGGCTGCCCCTATGAAATAACAGGCCACTGATAGGCACATGATAGGTTATAATATGGCAACACTGTAAGCCTAGTGGTTTTATCTCAGAGTACCTAGTACAGAGAGGACAGTAAACAATTTTTTTGTCGCCTTGATATCGCATGAAAGATTCTAATTAGAGAGAAATAGATTAATATTTCTATCTCTATATTTATTTTTCCAGTTATTTTTAGACAATTTTTTAAGTTTTTACTTAAATTCGTTCAAGTATGGTGGTGTTAAAAGTGACTTTGATTTGTAGGGTTTATTTTATACTAGGAAAAGACTTGTGTTTTATATGATTTTAAATATAAAAGAGGAAGTGAGGTTACGTTTCACTCGTTAATATTATTTCTTACCGAAAAACATGGGCGTCGTTTTAGGAGAAAAAAGGAAAATAAAATATGCATATTCAACTTGCAGATCTGCAAATATGGCGGACGTACAGATGCAAGTATCAAGTTTTCATATTCCAAAAAATATCTACAAATTAGCAAAACTTATTGTGGTTTATTGCGAATTTGCAGATATTTTTTCGAATACGAAAACTTGATACTTGCATCTGTAAGTCCGCCATATTTGCAGATCTGCATAGTTACAGACGTTCTGTAATCTCACCCTTATACGGTTGTTATTGATAAGGAAGATTAGGTTTTAAGTATTAGTATGTCACATTGATAACTGACATTGAACTCTGAACTCTAGAAAGAGGAAAACCATATGCGCACTTCGTTTACGCCTACTTACTCCACTCCACTCTGGAGTGCGCAACCCGAACTCGCCTTCTATGTGTTTTTAGTTTTATGTTCTATAACTGTCAACGTCAAAAATATTAAAATTTGAGGTTCTGTGAGTTGAGGTTAAACTTCAAATAATAAGATGAGTTTTCAAAATCAAAACTAGTAAAAAAAAGTTATATAAAGTACAAGCGTATAACAACTTTTTATAGAATTAATAAATAAACTAAGATGGAACGAACTGGAAGAACATTATTATACTTTAAACGCTATTTAACTACTAAAAGCCAACCATTTACCACAAAGTGTCAGACTTTAAACATTGCAACTTTGGGATCTACTAATTTTAGTACTGAAATTTCCACTAATCATAACCACTGTTGGAAATGTGGGATAGTCAAAAATAGCCTGGATATGTTTTGTGAAAAATGCCATAGCATACAAGCACCCATGCAAAAAAATAATTATTTCAAAGTACTTGGAGTCGAAGAAGGATTTAACGTTGATACAAAACTTTTAAAAGACAAATTTCGAAAGGTTCAGAGCCTTATACATCCAGACAAATTTAGTAACAGGTAAATGTCAAATTTTAATGGTATAATAAGTTAATTCAACAGAAAAAAGTAAAATATCAAAAGTGAAGTAATTTTCCTATATGTTATTATGTAAACAAAACGTAATTACTGTATCTAACATCTAAAATTGTTATCAAATCGTACTTGGAATATTCATATACTGGAGATTGAGTTCACAATATGGAAAAGTTCTTAATTTTTTATTTTATTGAAAATTTACCTTCTTGAAAAAGTTTTTTTTTCTAAGGCCATATAAAAAGCAAATAATGTAATTTAACTTGTTGGGTTCATACTATAATAATTTTTCTGTTTAGCTAAGGGTTCAGCAGTATGTAGGTATCTTTGCAATAAGTAAAAATATAATAATTATAGTGGGTTACATCTATACTGCCGTATTAGTAGAATAACTGTATCAGTTTAAGTCCTAGCAACATGTTCACATGAATTTAATCTTAAAAGCTAACATCATCTATGTATTTCAATTTGACAGTATTTAAAAAGTTTGGTAAAACTCAGATCAATCATTAATATCCATTTTTCTCAAAAATTACCGTTTCTGTAGATCCATCCATTTCATTTAACAAGGCCTATTACTGCCTTATTATTTTTAAATATAATAAATAATACAGGAAATAAACATGGGTTGATTTCAAAGATAATTAATATTGCAAATGTCCAAAACAAAGGCCAACACATCAACTTATTTGCATAAAAATAAGAACAACACACATTTTCAATATCTCAAAATCAGTTTATATTGACAAACAAATTTGTATGTTTAAAAGGGCTACACCAATTTTCTCATTATAGTATTCAATTTCAACAATTCAAATTACTATGTTTTCCACCTAAGAATACATATTGTTCATCAATGTGACATTGGTATGTATGGTTGCCTAGTGTAACATTAATGGTACAGTAAGGTATGATAGTAAAATAGAAGAGTAATACCAAGAAAAACAATTTCAACACTGCAAGGCTCTAATTTGATTACATAATGCCAAAAACGATTTCCATTTTTAGAAAAAAATATATATTCTTCAAATTTTTTGCAGGCAACCCAACCATAAAATGATTTTCTGTCTTTGGTATGTTCACATATACATTATGTAACATTTTGCAGATATGGGCTGTTTTTTTTTTCTTTGAACATCTCATTATTAGCCTGTTTTGTCATACCCAACTGTATTGACTATGGTGGGGTATGACATGCATGATTCAAGTCTACTGCCTGTAGATCAAGACTGAATATGTTTGGTATTAGCATGTAGAAAATGTTGATATGATGATACAAGAAGTCTTGCGAGTCCACTAATATGTTGTAGCGCCATTTTAAATTGTGCTTAATATATAAAGAAAAACAATAGTCCAATTTTTGATAAAACTAAGAAAGTGTTTTTCTATTATGAACACACCATACCTTAGTTAAAGGTATTGTTATACACATACTTAGAGTGCTTTCTGATATTTCATATCAGAAAAATAATTGGTTATAGGGGGTAGTTCTCTATAAACTCAACCATGACATTTGTTAGAGATCCATGTAAGGATTTATTTTAACTGATTTGATATCATGAAATAGAAACATATTACACTAAAAGTTTTAAATTCTGTCATTCTGCAGGTCTATGATTGAGTCTACTTTTATCTCTCTAGCTCAAATGGGACTTATAAAAATGTCTTCAGCTTTGTATTATATTTCTATTAAAAAAAGCACACATGCATATTTAATAAAATAGATATTAGTGTGTTGTATTAAAAGTACATTTATTATTTATTATACTTCTGAAACTGCAGAACTCATGAGGAACAAACTATTTCAGAAGAATATTCTTCTTTAATTAATAAAGCCTACAGTAGCTTAATGTCACCAATGAAGAGAGCTGAACATTTACTTCTGCTACAAGGAGGAGAAACTATTGGAGAAAGTCAAACTGTTGATGAACCTGACTTTTTAATGCAGATAATGAGATTAAATGAAGAAGTAAGTGTATTATTAATACTAAAGTAACATTTTCAATTTTTATCTCACCTAAATCAACCTTTTCAAGTTTTTCCTTACCTATGTTATTTTATGCCAGTAAAAATAGATATATGTATTATCTAAAAACATAAAAGTACATTTATTTACAACCATATATGTAATGTTGTCATTACTAACGTCATTGAAGGTTGGGAAGTGTCACATTACACACCTCTACTTCCCGCCCTCATTTTATCTATTCTAGATGAATATTTTTTATATTTAAAAAAATAACACATTTTTTTGACAAATTTTATAATACCTATTTAATGGCAAGCAATTAAAAACAACAATGAACTAAAATACAACAAACTACTTATTGATATTTATTATTCGCGAATTTAATATGGGGCTTTATCTGACATTTATTTATATTGGTGACAGTTGTTTACCCCGTAATCACAGTAACAACATATTTACTTGATTATTTTGAGAAAACCGCGCGCTTGGTAATTTGTCGTTAAATGTAATATTTTAGATATGTACAGAACGAAACAGAGATTTATTAACTTTGATCGAAATATGATGGTTGTAAATAAAATAGTATACAAACCTCGGTAGGATAGCTAACCTCGACGCTTCGCGTCTCGGTGATCTAACTAACCTCACGACAGGAATGAAACTCTTCCAACTTCAGTGTGTAATATATTATTTTCCTTGTATTTATAGAAGTTCTTAATCTTTCTTAATTATTAAAACTAAGTGTGTAAAGTTTTTGATCATAAATTGTAGGCTACCAACTAGAACGAAAATATATAATGTGATTCTATATTATACTCTTCACAGTTTAACAGACCCCCTTAATCTTCATTTTTCATTAAATATTTTTCAGAATCAATAGGCTTCATATACAGGGTGTTTCAGATTTAAATGGACACAGCCTAATGGTAGGTAGAGTACACTTAGCTGAGTTCAAAACACCCCCATCTTAGTCTTTAATCTTACTCGTTTCTTAGATTCTTATGATTTTTTGCCAAAACTAAAATCGGCCATTTTGTTTGAACGACTAGAGATATTTTGATAAAATTTTGTACAAAAGTTACACTCTCTTAGGTTAATCAAAGCCATAGTTTAATTTTAAAAAATTCCAGGACCAGACTCTTTTTTTTAAATCCACTGTGCTCTGTGATCTAGCAGACCATTATCTATCTTTAGGATTAAATCCGGTTACTGATGGGTGAGACAGTAATCTACTGAAAGGTATCATTTTCGCGAGGTGTCCCATATGAATACACACTGTATAACACTATTTGCCCTCTAGGTACTATTGTGGGATCTAATTAAAAAATTTCTACCATTATTAAAATAAATACTGATAGGGTTATAAATTATAATCTTGAAAATGAGATGTGTATTTAATAATATATTTGTTAATTTTTGATAGGTTGAAGATGCAGAACAAGATATTGATAAATTAAAACAGTTGGACGAGCAAAACAAAAATGAATTGGAAAAATTGGCCAAGGAAATTGACAAGTATTTTAAAAATCGAGATATAGATGCTGCAAAGAAGAGTATTATTAAATTGAAGTATTTTACTAGTATTAGCAATCGAATTAATTCAATATTTAGAGAAGCAGGCGTCACAAACTAAGTTCTACTTTTATCATTTAAGTTAATTACATTGGATAAAATTTGCCATAAGTTTAGTGTTTTTAAATAAAGTTACAGTATACAGTTTCTCATTGAAAATTTTGCCTGTAAAACTATTGAAATATGATGAATTTACTTTATTACATTAGAAATATTAATCTATTTATTTCATTGCTTAAACAGACAATTCATTATTTAAATTTAATTAGTCACGTGACTTGAAATTTCATTTTTTTTTTTTTTCAGTTTAAATTTTACTTTCCTATCTGTATACAGATAAGGAAAGTGTAGGAATCATGATTTTTTCAGATCTCGAATATTCGACGGATTTTTACGTTTTAGGGTTCCCTGAATCCGTTTTGACTATTTTCGCGATGATTTCTGCGTGTGTCTGTATACTCGATAACTCATGAACGGATACAGAGCAAAACACCAAATTTTATACTTAAGCTATATTCCGGACTGCGGCGAACTGATTAGATTTTGGGCGGAGTCGGAACATCTAAGGGACTGGGAGATAGTTGATCACAGTTTAACTTTCTCTTGAAAATCCATGGAAATATAACCAAGAAGTTAGAACAAAAGTAAATACATAATTGTACTAACATTTATTTACATGATTTGATAGATATACTGTCGTTTATAAACCATTAAGCAACCTTGGTTATTTTTTTTTTGTAAAAGTTTCCAGTATCTCCATTAGGTGGAGTACATTATCAGGACCCAGGGAAACTTGATCATTTCATTTAAATAAGCTCAAAAAATAAATAGAACAGAAATTAAAAGTTTATTCTAAGAAAATACAGATAAAAATCTGATGTGTCCAACACATGACTTTCCTATCTAGTTTTTATAGGCTTTTTCCGGTTATTTTGTACAACCTATTGCAGCATCTCTATAAATGTTTAGAGGATAAACTAAATATATACATTGTCCACATAAATCTACCTCGAAACATTTTTCTATAGATATTCATTGAAAACGAAAATACTGAAAAATTTAAATTTAGCACTTTTTCAATACGGTCCATTTTAAAAAAATTTTGTATGGTACAAAAATTATAGATAATAATATTAGAAGTAACTTTTATTTGAACAATTTTCTTCTCCAAACATAAATAACGGATATATTCCATAAAATATAAAAACGGCCTCCCATAAAGTACCCCCCTAGATGTTCCGACTTTGTCCAAAATCTAATCATTTCACGTCAGGCCGAATTAAACCTTAAGTTTAAAATTTAATGTTATTTTCTTTATCCGTTTTTGAGTTTTCTTCAAAATTCGAAATTTAAACATTTTCTCAAATATCTCGAATACGGTCCATTTTAGAGAAATTATGTATAGAATAAAAATTATAGAGAATTATATTACAAACAACTTTTATTTGAACAATTTTTATAAAAAAATATTTTTTTTACATTTTGTCAAATTTCTCGAATACGGACCATTTTAGGAAAATTTTGTATAGAACAAAAATTATAGATAATTATATTAGAAGTAACTTTTATTTGAAGAATTTTCTTCTCCAAACGTAAATAACAGATATATTTCATAAAATCTAAAAATGACCACCTATAAAGTACCCCCCCAGATGTTCCGACTCTGCCCAAAATCTAATCAGTTCATTAGACGCTGGAATAAAGCTTAAGTTTAAAATTTGGTGTTTTTCTGTGTATCGGTTCATGAGTTATGCGACCTACAAACACACACACACACAGACATCATCGCGAAAATAGTCAAAACGGATTCAGGGGACCTCAAAACGTAAAAATCCGTCGAAAACTCGAGGTCGAAAAAAATCATGATTCCTATACTTTCCTTATATCTGTATACAGATAGGAAAGTAAAAATATATATACTTATATAATAAATGCATACAATTATTTTTAATCCCTTTCAAAAAATATCAAGTGGCTTTAGAAATGTATAATACATTCTTGTTCCTTTTAAAGTAATGTTTGGATCAAGCCCTAATCCAATGATGTCTTTGAACGTCACTGATGTCGGAATCTGCAAATACCAAGATTTTTTTACTTTTGTCTGCACATCTCAAATGAGAGTCTGGCCCTCCTTTGAATCGACGAGTACAAATTTCCCCTTCTTAAGATTACCGGTATTTACAGGAAGTAGTTTCTCAAGCTCATCTTCAAAATCAATTGAAGAATCGTCTGACTCTTTCAACGAGAGTTCCTCGTCACTTGAAGAACTTGGAGATGGTACAATTTTCCTCTTTTTCAATTTTGATTCTTTTCCTCTCTTTCTTTTAAATTATTTTCTATTTCCTCTTTTACTGGTGTATCCGTTGCGAACTTTATCTTCTTTCTTCCCTTTCTCTTAATTTTCCTGGGAACTGCTTTAGGGAATGGCTTAACTTCAACGGGTACTAATAAGAAAATTGGAGGATTTTGAACGTAAACATAATCCACTCGACCCTGGGAGTGTTTGGTTTACTTTATCCTGAAGTTGAGTATGTTCTTGATTATTTTTCTCTGGATTCTTATTAACAATCTCTGTACTTTCGTTTTCAGCAGGAACTTGATCGAGTTGAGGATGGTCAGTAATGTATGCTGTCAAGAAGTCCTCATCCTTGAATATTGATGGATTGTAAGGGTGTATTTTAGTTTTTTTGAAACTGCTTCTGATATTTGAGGTAGAGAAAGCCAATGCAGTATTGGCTAACACCGGCCGATATAAGAGAAGCACCTCTTGGTGACGTTGTCAACTACATTAATCTGTAGGCTGGCTCACGAGCTAGGAGGTGCCTATAATTTTAGGATACACAATAGGCCTAGTGAGGCTTAAGTGCTGTGGGATAACCCACCCTCTACATGTTACAAATTCAGAAGTACTGTAGGTAACTGTAAATGAATTTCGATTGCATCCTGATAGCAGCGACTTGGTTCCTCGAAGTGAGTTTGTCATATTTTAATTATTGTTTTATATTGTTTATTTACTATTTTAATTCGAATGGTTTGAAAAACAAAAAAATAACATATTTAAATAAAAGGCGTAAGAAATTAAACTATGCATAATACGTAGGCGTAAATTATCTTTATAGGTAATACTGATTTAGAAATTAAAAAAAAAAAGATTGACAGTCAGATGCAAGAACGTTCAATAAAATTTACGAATAACACAATGTATTTTTTTTTTCATGTAATACAAATTTTAAAACTATCAAATTTCTAATCACTACTTTAGTTAAATACAACTACTTAACTATACTGAAATTTTCACAAAACGCTAATAATAATATACCAAACGTTGCCCTACATAAATTGACAGCTATATTTGACGTTAAATCACCTCTAAAACACTGAGAAAACTTGGCAATTTTTTGTCCACGAATCGCCCATTCAGTTTCGCTTCTTGGGTAGGTATTCTTTGCTAATAGCAGAACTGAGTTTATCAGCAGACTCTAAGTCATAGTCGCTAATATTGGGTGGTATGAATAAAAACCAAGTAGATGCTAATGCTACAATTTTAAGGATCTACTACGAAGTTTCTGCTTCATCATGAAGCATCTGGTCAGTTCCGGTAGTATTTGCTTAAGAAGTATTTACTACACTGCTTGTAGTATCTACTTTTATTACGTAGTATTTGCTTCAAAATATCTAGCATCTTCCCAGTTTGACTTCTGCTCGAGAATTAGCAGGCTCTGGCAGGTTTCTAAGATTTTTTGTTTTATTTTTATTTGAAGTATTGAAGTGGTTTTGTAAAATGTCATCAGATGAAGAAATGCCCCATCAAGAAGAGTCCCAAAATGAAGACTTACAATTAGCTTTTGTTATAATGCTAGAAGATCATAAGATAATTCTGGATAAAAAAATGACATCTGCTATTAAATCTGCAAAAGACAAAGCCCTTAAACAATTAATGGAGATTTATAACAGCAATACAAAACAAAACTTAGATATTAAACAAGTATTAAAAAAAGTTAATAATATGAAAAGTAAAATAAAGAAAATTACGGATATGAAGAAAACAGGAAATAAGAAAATAAAATTAAATGAGTGGCAACAAAAGTTTTATGACCTATGGAACGGAATTGAAAATCCAGTAATTCAAAGAGTTCCAGGTATACTTACACGCCTTTTTTTGTAAATTCATTACAAATACGCAATGTAGTATTATAGTATGTATCTAATATGTGTAGTCTATTATTATACGTAATTTGCAATGTAACACGTTTTTAGGGGGCGTGATTGCAGGTACCAGTAGAGATGAAAATGTAGATCGATTAAGTGATGAAGAGGATGGGACACCTTTTAGTGATGAAAACGAATCGATTAAAAAGTTGCAAAAAAAGTTACTTATTCAACAAATAAATACTGCTATAGCTCAAGAAAGAGCTGCTAAAGTTCAAGAAAGGGCTGCTATAGCTCAGGAAAAAGCTGCTATAGCTGTAGGAAAAGCCGCAGGAGCTGTAGAGCAATTTGTAGAAGATTACTTTGCACAACAACATTCGAGCATTTCAAATAATTCAAAAATAAAAACGAATCTGTGTCGTTTTACTAATTAGTTGTTTTTGTTAAAAGACAATTGAGGTTTACGTTCTATTATTTTATAAATAAGTTTATTAGGTTTAATTATTGTGATATAAGTGTTCATTGAAATATAAAATAAAAACTAACAAAACAATATTTATTAATTTAATGTTTTAACGTTGTCTGTACATCAGTTCTGCAATTTCATTACGAAATTGGATACCGCGGCGTCTAATGTCAGCGTTATTTCTTTCAGCATATAATTCAGGCATAACTGGTTCTTCTTCTACATAAATTTGTTGAAATTCTTCATATGGATCGTTCAAAAACTTAGCACAATTATGTAAAATAAATCCACACATAATATATCGACATATTCTATCAGCTTTAAGTCGGATTGTATGATTTAACATTGGAAATCTCCTTTTCAACTGCCCAAAGCATCTTTCTATAATAACCCGTTCTCTTGCATGCATTTTATTAAAATATCTTTCAATATTTGTTGACGGATTTTTAAATGGTGTAAGCATCCAAGGAGTTATTGCATATCCGGAATCACCCAAAAGACAAACTCTTTCTCGATTGTTATACATAATA